TGAAGCACGGCGGTGGCAGCATCGTGACGTGAAGCACGGCGGTGGCAGCATCATGACGTGAAGCACGGTGGTGGCAGCATCATGACGTGAAGCACGGTGGTGGCAGCATCATGAGGGTGAAGCACGGTGGTGGCAGCATCATGACGTGGGGAGGCTCATCCACTAAACACTGACTTGAAGGGAGTGGACTGTTATGCAATCAAGTATTTTACGTTTTATACTTTTAATTCATTGCCATGAATTTCTAGAGATCTCCTCCAACTTTGACCTGAAAGAAAGCATTTCTGCAATTTCTTGTCAAAAAATGCCAAATGACACCGAGCATGGCTCAGAGTCACAGCAGTAAAAGGGAGAGGGCTCTTTTTATTGGCACTGTAGTGATGATGGAGACCTTAATGTATGGGGAGCTCTGAACGGGGACAAAAATGTAGCCCAAAGCCAAAACATGTGGTTCAACTTCTACTCTGGTCACACTGATCCAGGCTGTCTAGACTTCCTGATCTTCTTGGATATATAAATCAAGGACTTGTCATTTATCCTTCTTGTGTTGGAACAGACCAGGTTTTCAGGGTTTGAACTGTCATGACACATTGGATTTCCTTCACTTAGTGGTAATACAGCAGACAGGTTCTTCACTGTTCCCAACAAGCATGAGCAGATCAGTCTGCATCATGTAGGAGTACGTCTGAGTACATTGTCAGTCATCCAGGTCATCATATTCTGGGGAAAAAAAGAGAAGTCCAGATGCTTTCTATTGATCAGGATCAGTGGGATTAATCTAGGAACAGATTCATGACTCAGGGATTCAGAGATGTCATGTCCAGCGTCACCAACCAGTTGCAGGAATGCTGTCTTCTACCTTATAACATTTCTCTGAGTTTTATCTGCCCTTGAGGATATTTTTAACACCATGGGCTTGTATCAAACATGACCAGTGTTTTTCTTTGCTCCATGCAGGTGAAGAGGGAAGTCGGCGACGTTGGCATTCTGGTGAACAACGCTGGCATTGTGACTGGAAAGAAGTTCATGGACGCTCCTGATTCCCTGATTGAGAAGACCATGGAGGTCAACACGATGGCTCACTTCTGGGTCAGTCGAAGTGTCGGCATCACATTAGGCAACACCACACCTGACACTGACCTTCCACGTGCCTTCGTGTTTGGGCTTTCTCTTTACTCTCTGTTCAAGGCTTGTTTATGCAGTCGGGGTGTAACCATACACTACCTTCATGTGTCCGTTTGGGCTTTGGTTCTGGAATCAGAACTCGATGTGTTTTTGGTACAATGAGAAGAATAGAGAAAACAAAAGAGATGCACCAAGTCACATGTTTTTCATAGTATTCAAAGAATGAGAGCACGACGCTGGACTGCTGGTCCATAAGGAACCAAACATCAGTAGATGGAAGGCAGCATGTTCTGAACACATTTCAATGAATAATCAAAGCCAACAAGGCAGCTTCCAAGCTGCACAAACTAAAGCTGTCTTTCTGTGTATTTGTCATCACTGAAGCCAACGAGTCTGAATACACTGCCGTTGGACCGAGCGTGTGTCGTGATGGCTGCTAGCTAGCTAGCCTAACCCTAACCCTAACTAGCTTGTGTCGCGCAGCAGAGACGTCTGGGCTTCTGGCACAATGAAACGTTAACAAATCATGTTTATAATGTGTGGCCACCTATCACAGCTGCTTGTGCTTGCATGCTACAGCTAACAGACCACTGCTAGTGCAGAGCCGGACGTTACTGAAGAAGTCACGCTGTTCATCTGGACTGTGACGACACAGACATCACTAGCTGTGATAGTCAGGCTCACAGGGTGCACCAAACCGAGGAAGTCTCACCCTGAACTGAGAGTGGCAGGCCAAATGACTGCACCCCTAACATGTAGACAGTTTAAAATGATTATCAATCCATTTTCTATACACCGCTTAATCCTCATTAGGGTCGCGGGGGGGCTGGAGCCTATCCCAGCCGACTTAGGGCGAAGGCAGGGGACACCCTGGACAGGTCGCCAGTCCATCGCAGGGCCACACTTAGAGACAGACAACCAAGCACACTCACATTCACACCTACGGACAATTTAGAATCACCAATTAACCTCAACATGTTTTTGGACTGTGTGGGAGGAAGCCGGAGAACCCAGAGAGAACCCACGCTGCACGGGGAGAACATGCAAACTCCACGCAGAAAGATTCCGGTGCCCCCACCGGGACGCGAACCGGCAACCTTCTTGCTGCGAGGCAACAGTGCTTAAAATGATTAGAAATATTAATTAATAATGAATTAATGCAGGCTTTGCCCTCACAGTTCTTTCAAAACCCTAAAACTTCCCCGTGAGTTTGAAAAGCTCGTCGTTTTTTTAAGGGGGTTATTTGCAGCTCTCATTCTTTTTGAGCCAATCTTGACTTTTCTAGTTTTGCCAGAAATGTTCTGAATGTGTCCTAAAAATGTACCTAAAAGAACATTTGTAGTGAGCATCAGACCCAAACCTGGGATGCCAGTACTAGTGGGCCATTTCAGCATTCACGCTGGCTTTTTGTGTGTATGATGAAAGAAAAACATTTTGAACCACATCGTAGCAGCGGCTAGGTTTCAATAGAAATGTAAAGAACGGATAAAGGAAGCACCAGGCTACTGAATTCTAATTTAAATGGCAAAAAAAAACTTGATTTAAAATAGCAGTTCAACGACTGGCCTGACAGATCCACAGTGTAAACACAGTGAACGGGCTGTAATGTAATGTTGTGTAGATTGGTACTTTGGTACCAGTATAACCCTTATAGCAGCAGAAGAGGGACTTCTTCTGGAGGTACTGGCGGGTCCAGCTGCAGGAACCAGCGGCTCAGCTAGATCCAGCAGCTTTATCAGGTCAGGACAGCAGCATGACACTGTGATGCTCTGCTCCTCTCGGCCTCGCAGAGACACTTCATCACAGTCTGAATGTTGTTGAAGCATGTAATCAGATTACTTCTGATAATAGTTACAGGTGGGTCAGCAAACACACCGAGAACTGGTGATGAACTGGAAACTACAAGGAGTTCTGCAGTCAGACTACATGTCCCTCATGTTCTGCATTGTGGGTTCATGTATTTTCCATTTATTCAGTTATCAGTGGAAGCCCAACAGAGCCTTAACCTCCCTTCATCTGTATCGACGTACACAACAGGACCTGGACCGCACTCTCTACCATTCTTACTGGTTCTGTCCAGTGTCTCAGTACCTGTGTATGTCATCTGTCATACCAAATAAAGCAGATGGATGCACAACTACTGCTAGCGTCTGGAATGTTCCTCGTGTGCTCAAACCTTTCATCCACATATGAACATTTTGAAGCCTGTTCTTCATGTTCAGTACATCAGCAACAGCTCCCCAGGCTGAACAGGCTTTAATACTGGCTTCATATAGCTGCTCAGATTGTTCACTATGTGTCTGGAGGGGACACACTGAATACATTTAGGAGATGCTGTACGTAGCCTCAGAAAGTTCTGTACTGAGGAAAACTGACAAATGAGCAGCTGAACGAAGTGTCGACTCGTGAAGACTGCGAGATGCAGTAAAACGTTCTTGACAAAGAAATGAGCTTTTTTCCTCTTTTGGTCAAAACAAAAATTGCAAATAACTTCAATAAATTGTGTGTTTAAATAAAGGCTGTGAGTTATCTGGACAGATCTGCTTGATGCTTTACTTGTTCTTGTTCTTTCTCTCCTCTCAGACCTACAAAGCCTTCCTTCCGGCCATGATAGCCAACAACCACGGCCATCTGGTCAGCATTGCCAGCTCTGCAGGACTCATAGGAGTCAATGGATTGGCAGGTGTGTGTTTTCTTCCCCTTGTCAGGATTTATGAAACTCATTCAGTGGATAAACACTTTTATCTTTACATGGACCTTAAAAAGCAAACAAAAGAAGCTTCCTACTGATAATAATCATCTTTGTGGATGGATGACTTTTGAAGCACCTTTCTTCCTACGTTTCTGCATCAGTGCAGCAAACACTGTAGCTGATCAACACTTTGAGCTACCAAGTCTGAACAGAATCCAGATATGTAGTATGCAAGACAAACAGGCTGATGTAAAATATCTGTAAGCAATACACTAATTGCCTTAATTAGGGAAAAACAGCTTTCTTGTTGACAATAAGTCAGAAACAATAAGTAGTGGGTGGTTGATTGAAATGTGCATGCTGAGGTAAACAGGTTAAAAAAAACTCAACATTTCTGAGGACAGACTCATACGATGAGAAAACGAGCTGTGTTGGTGGGACATGAAAAAGTTCTGCTGCTTTTAGTGACACCTTCTTCATTCAGGGGGGTCGTGTTTACGTTCACCAGGTCCAGCTGGACGCAGAAGCTGTGATGAAACTGTCACGCATAAACATGAACATCTGGTCTGTGCCTTTTCTTACCTGTGTTACATTCCACACTGAAAAAAACATCCTCAATCTCTTAATTAGCTATTTTTATATCGGTTTGGTGCAGCTCAGCTTGTGATCATCAGCTGCTGTTTGTCATTAGCTCTTCAGTTATGACCAGCAAACAGTAAGTCTGCTTGTCCTGCATGGTCTCTGTCACGGTTAAACGAAGCGAATTGATATGTACAAGGCTGTATGAAGCTGATCCATTAAGGCTGTATGAAGCTGATCCATGAAGGCTGTATGAAGCTGATCCATGTGTAGAAGGCTGTATGAAGCTAATCCATGTGTACAAGGCTGTATGAAGCTGATCCATGTGTAACTCAGAGATATTGTAACTGTGTTTTTGGCACACATGTAGTTGTAATCATTTTGTTGTGATCTTTCCATAGTCGTGGTGTTTTCTTACTGACTCAACCTGTTGCAAACACACAGCAGAGAAAGGACAGGCAGGCCCTCAAAGCAGTGGCTGCTGACCAGCGTTCACGCACAGTTGATGGCAAAATGGGATGTGAGGTGGAACGATGGGTCGGGGCAGCATCAGCAGTGATGAGGGCATTGTAGCGTCAGGGTCAGGGTTAACCCTAACCCTAACCCTGACCCTGACCCTGACCCTGGAAAGCCTGTCCAACTGCGTTCCAACCATAACCAGTGTGATGAGCTCTTTAGCTGACAAAATGAGAACACGGATATAAACACCTGGAATTTCACAGGAAAAGGTGGCTGCTCAGGTGGTTGAGACATCTGATTAGGATGCTTTCTGGGTGTGCTGGTTGTCTGTCTCTAAGTGTAGCCCTGTGATAGACTGGTTACCTGTCCAGGTGAACCTGCCTTCACCCTGAGTCAGCTGGGATAGGCTCTGCCCCCCATGACCCCAGTGAGGATTAAGTAGTGTATAGATAGATCCATTCATAGATGGAGGAATGGATGGAAGTCTGTTTTGGGTATTTCAACACAAAATCAAAACAGAAGGTCAAGTATTGTATCCGTCCTTCGATTCGCGTGTCAGAGCAGCAACAGCCCTGAACTGTGGGGAAACCGGGCGGTCCATCACTTCATCACTTACTGGACTGAACTCAACTGCACACAAACTCTCTCTCTCTCTCTCTCTCTCTCTCTCTCTCGCTCTCTCGCTCTCTCNCTCTCTCTCTCTCTCTCTCTCTCTCTCTCTCTCTCTCTCTCTCTCTATTTTGTTTGTTGTGCGTGACTTCATTCCTTTTCTGGTCGCCCACCATGAATTTTTGTTCTAGTTTTCTTATTTGTCAGACTGGTACCCACTCGGTGTTAAACCCACTACAGTGTTAACAAGTGGTACAGCTGGAGCTTGTGTTCTGCTGACGGTGCTTGACGAATGCTACTGTTAAGAGATTTGCTTTGCCCCTTAGCGTGCGGCTAACGATATCTGGAGCAACTGAACATGATTGTACTGTCAGAATAACTCTACCAGTCTGTTCCAACTAACAGACACGTCTCTCTAGCACAGACACAACCTGCAACAGCTGAACAAGAATCAAGACATTAGCTGCTTTCAGGATGGCTTAGGCTACGTTCATGGCTAGCAGTTAAGTTAGGAGTGTAAATGTATTAATTGTCATCACTCCTATTTCTGTTGTAAATTATTCATTGACTCTAATCCTTCTTATTGACGTTGTTTAGTGATGAATGGCAGGTTCCTTACCATTACATGCTGTTAATAAATAACTTTTAGTGTATGGCAGCATATCTCAATTACCAATAAATTGATTATTGGTCGTCGGCCGTAAAAAAAACCTGGTCGATCACTAGCCTGTAGCATCGGACAACAACAGGATCGATATGAGTGTCTCCAAAGTGAGAGCATGAGCAGAAACTTCAGTAATCAGTATTATCATGATATGGAGACAGAATATATCAGGATCTGACGGCAAATGACACTGAGTCCATAGTCACATGTAACTCACAGTTTAATCATTTGTTACATCCGTCCGTCCGTCCATTAGTCCATCCGTCCATCCATTTTCTTCCGCTCATCCGGCGTCGGGTTGCTGAGGCAGCAGGTGGAGCAGGTCATTCCAGACGTCCCTCCCCCCAGCAACGCTATCCAGCTCTTCCTGGGGGATCCCGAGGCGTACCCGGGCCAGCCGAGAAATCCTGAAGTCACCAAACCGGACATCCTCCTCACCCTGACTGCACCTTGAGATCCTGTCCATGAAGACCACAAACAGGATCGAGGACAAGGGGTAGCCCTGGTGGAGTCCAACACCCACTGGGAACGTGTCCGACTTTTTGCTGAGAATGCGGACACAGCTCGCACTTTGGTTGTACAGGGACCAAATGGCTCGTAGCAGCGAGCCTGGTACCCCATACTCCCTCAGTACCCCCCACAGAGCGCCTTGGGGAACACGGTCATAGGCCTTCTCCAGATCCACAAAGCACATGTGGAATGGCTGGTAGCACTCCCATGCCCCCCTCAGCAGCTGCCCGAGGGTAAAGCGCTGGTCCACTGATCCTTTCTGGCACATCCTGCACATAACTTGGTGGACTGTCCAGTGTTGTATGAATGCCAAATATGACACATGCTGTGGCTCCGTCTGTCACAGCCGTGGGCATGTCTGGATCAAGCCATGAGGATGATGGGCAAAGTGTCCATCAGTAAAGTTATCTGACGTGAATGTTTGTTGAAAGAAAAGACATTTATGAACTGGACATATTTACACCCGTCAAGGAGACTTAGACAAGAAGCAGATGGGAAGCGACATACATTTGCATTCGACATTTACAAACAGTGTGAGGGAATGAGTGAGTTCTAAGATTAAGGATGTCCTCCTGATGTTTGCTAAAGGAAAATCACTGTACTAAGTACTGCTGTCCATCAGTCTCCTCTCACTCAGAACCCACACAGTAGACAGTATTCTTCATGATCAAGGGAGTCAATCATTACTTTACTGCAGAAGGTGGATAGCGTGAGATGCTAATGCTTGGTGAGAAAGAAAGTCTGAGAGAGTGAGCATGAGAGAGAGGCTTTTTTGTTTTCTGTCATGAAAAAGCTCCAAAAGGCTTCATGTGTGTATTAAAATATCTACAAATGTCTTCTTTATGAAAATGCCTCTGAATTTTGCAGGTCTGACTGTACATGACCTTCTATTCACAAGTCAGTCTCTTACATGTGTGACTCCTCTCTCTGCAGACTACTGTGCCAGTAAGTTTGCAGCAGTAGGTTTTGCAGAGTCCGTGGGTCTGGAGCTGCTGGCAACTGGAAAAAGTGGAGTGAAGACCACCATTGTGTGCCCCTATTTCATCAACACTGGAATGTTCGATGGATGTCAGACTAAGTAGGTTGCTTTATGTGATTTTCAACTTTGACTGTGTGTGTTTTTATTTAATTGAGGTAACTGGTAATGACTGAAATGAGAATGGCCATTTGAAGGCATATACATGTAAACCTTATGTCCAGGAGCTTGATGTTAGATGTCGCTGTCTCTGGGTTGGCTGGCCTCAGTAGTCAGATGATCCCATTGATGTTCACTGTCTTGAACCTCGTTATCAGTTGGCTTATTGCCTTTCAATGTCTGCCGTACAGAAAGGAAACTGCTTCATTGTGGTGCAGGATGTTTCTGTATATCGGGTTAAACGGCAGGAAAATGCCCAGAAACAGGATGACCGTTGACTTTAAAGAGTTTAGGTGAAGTCCTAAATTACTGCTCTGTCTTTGGGAAAACATCTCTATCGTGGAGAGCTTAGGTTGTTGGTTTTACAACAAACAATAAAAAATCTACACAGTTCTGACCGTTGTCATGGCAACAGTAGCATCAGTCCGTCTTTCACTCTCATGTCTTTGTTGTTATTATTGTTGTTTTCTCTTATTGAATGTAATTACGTTCTCTAACAGCTTGTTATGAACTTGTTCTTCTTCTGGGTCAGCATGTAGCAAGAACCTTCAGAAGTTCCTGCCATGTGGAGCACTGCTTCAGTTGGTGCATGTGAACAGTTTAAATGTGCACAAACAGAATACACGAATAATATATAGACTTAGTAGAGAGCAAAAAGCTGCTGCAACGCCATCATCAGCAAGATGATGATGATGAAGATGATGAAGATGAAAAAATGGGAACCAACACTTTCGGAGCTTAGTCTGGAAGATTAACTGTAAAAAGAGTGAAAATGCAGCTTTCTGTAGAACAGCGGTCCCCAACCACCGGGCCGCGGGTCATTTGGTACCGGGCCGCACAGATAGAATAAAAACATTTTATTGGTTTATTTTTATTTCCAGCGGAGTCTGCAGGGTGTTTTATTTTGAAACATGACTAGCTCGTCTTCCCGTCACTTCCGTTTGTGCTCGTTTCCCGCACTTGACTGTCAGTTTTTATGCCCGGCTGCTAAACAAAGCCGTCAGTCAACAACAAACGTCTCAGGAGAGCTGCTTTGGAAAGTGGGAGAAACTCGATACTGAGACAGAGAAAAAGTAAACATATTAAGCAATAAAAATTAATTTTATTTATTTATGAAACTTTTCAATAGAAAAAAAAACAATTATTATTTGTTATGTGTGTAATGACCGGTCCATAGAAAAATTTCTTCCTTAAAACCGGTCCGTGGTGCAAAAAAGGTTGAAGACCGCTGCCGTAGAAGACCGTAATCACACATTTAAAATGTCTGTATCCATCCAGAAAGAACATGTGAGCGTTCAGTGGTCTAGTTGTCCCATTCGAGGTGACAGTCACTCCTGTTCAGGCCAGTCATTTCTCTGCTACACTGGTAGTGAGCACATAACATATTTTTGTATTTCTTTTAGCTTAGGCACTGCTCAGAAATACGTAGACACTGCATCCATTTGGGAGGGAAAACCCTGGTAACACATCACAATATTTAGAGACCGGTAGCCATTAGGTCACCAGTTGTTTAGCCACTAGCACTATTCACATGTCAGTGATGCTATCAGCTGTAATGATGAGTCCTGACTTAGTGCTTGGAGCACAATATCAATAATGCTCTCTTTCGATTGCTTTGATGCTTCAGATGATTGGCTATTATCTCAGTTTAGCCTGTGGCGGATTAGATGAACTGTCTAAGTTACCTTCATCTCTTCTTTGCTCGAGTCTGATCGAACTGTCTCACATCTAGTTTTTGTAAAAATAAGGGGAATCATACAAATGGAGACAACTGATGTTCTCCAGCTCTTACTGTTTTCATTTTCCCTCATTCTTAGTAGTCTTTTCCATAATTGTTTTCCTTCTTGGCTTTTGTAATCACGTGGCCAGTGTTTATAGATTCCTATAGATTTATTGAATAGTGCAATAAGGAGACAGCAAAAGGCAAAATTCAGAACAGCAAAATTAGACCATAGTGAAAGTAAAGTGGTAAAATACCAGTGTCCTATATAAATAAATAAACTATTTTCAAACCCTGGACTTCAAAGAGAGGTGTTGCTTTTGCTTTTAAAAATGTTAAGGGTCCTAGAGGGTTTGTAGGATCAACGAGATTGATTTAAAACCATTAAACAAGGACTGGGCTACTTTGTTTTACATCAGTTTCAGCCACTGGTTTATTCTGTTCGTTTCTCTCCTGCTTCCGGTACATATGTTGATGTAATACAGCCATTTTTCCAAAAATGCTGTTCTCATGCACCAATTTGCATGTTGTTGTCAGACAACTGAACAAGTTTGAAATTGTATACTGCTGCGGCTCTACACATCTAATATACTGATTCAGTAACCACAACATCCAACCAACCAACCAACCAACCAACCATTTTCTTCCACTTATCCGGGGTTGGGTCGCGGGGGCAGTAGGTGGAGCAGGTCATTTCAGACATCCCTACCCCCGGCGATGCTTTCCTGCTCTTCCTGGGGGATCCCGAGGCGTTCCCAGGCTGTTCCAGAGATATAATCCCTCCAGCGGGTTCTGGGTCTGCCCTGGGGTCTCCTCCCAGGTGGATGTGTTCAGAAGACCTCCAGAGGAAGCCTTCCCAGAGGCATCCTAGTTAGGTGTCCATATCACCTCAACTGACTCCTTTCGACGTGAAGGAGCAGCAGCTCTACTCCAAACTCCGTCTAGAGGTCCGAGCTCCTCACCCTATCTCTAAGGCTGAGCCCAGCCACCCTGCGGAGGAAGCTCATTTCGGCCGCTTGTTTCCGCAATCTCCTTCTTTCAGTCAGACCCAGAGCTCGTAACCATAGGTGAGGGTTGAGATGTAGATGAACTGGTAAACCTCTTCACCACGACAGTCCGGTTCAGTGCCCGCATTACTGCTGTCGCTGCACCGAGCCGCCAATCTAACTCACGCTACATTTTCCCATCAGTCGTGAACAAGATCCGGAGATACTTAAACTCCCTTGTTTAAGGAAGCCATCCCACTCGGGAATACAGCTCACAATGATGAGTCAAGGCTCTACAGTTGGTAATAACCTCAAGGAAGCATGATAAACAGTGTCAATGTTATGAAGACACTGAGCTGAAGCATTCATGTACAACAAGTCTCCATAATCCAGAACTGATAAAAATATTGCAGTGACAAGCTGTTTTTTTGATTCAAATGAAAAACAAGATCTATTTCGAAAGAAGAAGCGCAATTTCAGTTTGAGCTTTTTAACAAGATTGTCAATATGAGGCTTGAAGGTACCTCGATGACATTTCCCTTTAAAGTAGACACTGTGGGTGGCGCTTGACTATGAAAAGAAACAATCTACTGAATAGAAAAAATGAATGTGTCCAAAACCATTGAGACTTCAGTGAACAGATCAAACTTTAAGTAAAATAAGCACCCACCAGTCTTTCTCTGGAGACGTTTATGTGGATCATTCTGCTGTCTGGTGCTGCAGGTATTTCATAAACACAAAGATTTTTAAGGTTTGTGTGACAAGAGAAGAACAGACACGGTCACAACTTTATCCAACATCTAGGACGTATCTTGACAAGGAGACTTTTTACCCATTTTCATATATTTGGTGCTTCAATCCAACATTAAGGTTATAGCTGTTGGTCTGGTGATGGTTGATTGATTGGTTGATTGACAAGATGTTTTAGAAAAGCACTGGACCTTATTTATAAAGTATTTCCTTCAGTAGGAGCCACAGGCAGATGGATAAAGTGACCAAAAACAGACTGACTATTACCTGCTAACTATTCGACAAAAATGTCAGCCAGCCTGAAGGACCCTGGGGGGTCAGTGCTACCTTCAGACTGGTAGACATCACACTGACAGCATTTCTGTTGCCTTCATTGACCCAGAAACACACACAGTGTTGCAGGGCCATTGTGGTACACTGGCAGATGTCCTGGGGTCAAGTTTTAAAGGTGTTTGGAGAACTGTGTCCATTTTTATTTCTGTCCCCTGCCTTCATCCATCCAGCAGACCCTGAAGCTAGCTGAACACATGTTTTATGCCTTCACCATTAATGTAGCCTGCCACTGTCTACTTCTCACATCTGTACAGGTCTGTGCTGATTTGAAGTAATCAGAAAACATCCCAAAAAACTGACTTGCCTAACATTGACTAAACTGTTGGGTTAGGGTTGGGGTTGGGGTATTATGTGCTGTGCAATGACACAAATCCCCAACACTTCCAATAACAGAATAACATCATAATATTATACAATACATGAGCATACATTTGTTGCAGCGGCAGATCTGTTGAAATGTCAGTGCTGCTCAGTAAATTATGAAGCCTAATCATTAATCTCAGGTCACACCAGTGGTGGGCCACGCATTTTACTCCTCAGCCTTCAGTGGCGTTCTACCTGAATCAAGCCACCTCTTAACACCGTCGTTATGACGCCACGACTATACAAACCATCTCTATTTTGCAGAAATGCAAAATTGCAGGATGTAGCACTGCAGACTGGTAGCTCATGTAGTGAGACTGAATGGCATCACTAAAGCAGGAAACCCAGTTAAACAATTCAACACGTCTACATTCACTGCAGCCACAGCTGCACCACATACACCACATCCAGCAGGAGCATCAGTACCAGCCCAGAATATGACTAAAATATACATTTACTCACTATAACCTGTGATTGTTTGAACACAACTCCATCCTCCTCTAATTCGCTGTAGGGCTGACAATGTCCGCTTGCTGAACTTAAACAACCAAACGTAATACTTTTATATAAAGTTTTATCTTGTGCAGGTCGCTACAGACAGGAACTGCTACTTTTAGCTGAGCTATCTGACCATCCAATCAGAGGACGTGGTGCTGATATCATCATAAGCCAGTTAGCGGGCCATGGGACCACCAACTCTCAATCTGATAGGTTAAAGGGACCACCAACTCTCAATCTGATTGGTTCAAGCAACAGTTTCATTACAATGCATTTTAAGCTACAGACGCCTGCACCTCTGGTCCTGAAGGCCTCAGGGCACATTTCTGTGACCCTGGCAACACATGACGGCTGACATGTGCGCCAGTAACTTTATGAAAATGTTAAGATTATGAATTATCCTTGAAAAAGCAAGGAGAGCTGTCCGGGACAGAATCCGACAGAAAGTCACACAATGTAGGCAAACTGGTCTTTACATCAGACGGGTGAGCTCTGTTGAGGACAGGTTTAGTTTAATGCATCAATGCATACCTGGAGCATAAGAAAGTGTAAACTGCACTTTAAGATTAGAATTGCACCTGTTTGTCAAGACACCACTCAGATCTTTTATGGGTCTATCACCGGACAGACCTTCACAGGAATAGTTCAGATTGAATGTTAATAAAATTGATCAAATGTGATCATGTTAATCTGTCTACAGTCTGAAGTGGTGAAGTCTGGCTTCATTGACCTCCAGTTCTCAAAGAAATGCACAGATGAAGCATTTATTAACTACTGCTGCAAACAAAGAAGACAACGATGACGTGACAAACAGATGACCATGAATGAGAGAATGCAGGTGAACAGATGACATAACTAACAGTAATCTGCACTGGAAGCAGTTGGTAGACAGTGATCAACTAGAAGAATTAGAATTGAGAAGTCCGTTATTTCAAATTCACAAAGTGATTCTTGCACAGCTTAGTAAAAACCTGCAGGATCAGCATCACGTCAGGAGGAGGAGGACAGAGGAAGCTCCTCAGCAGGATCGTGTAGATCTGTTGGAGAGGCTGCTTCAGGGACTGTTGCAAAGTTACACTGAAAAAATGAGCCAAAGTTAAAAAAAAAAAAACAAAAAAAACAAGTCACAGCTCATAGTTACAGAGAAAAAAGCAGGCACACAAAGAGAAGTGCTTATCAAAGTCAAACTCCTACACAGTCGACAACAACAATGCATTCCCATGACTTTCTTTAAGACTGAAAGTTTGGGAGCCACATTCAGTGTTAGCATCTAGCTAGTCATTGATGTGTTCATCCTCAGGGATGGTGCTAAGCTTCACTTTCCATGAGGGCTCACAGGCCAAATACCTTTGCCTGAATTAAAATCATATCAGACATGGTGTTGTCTTGTACAGTTCCTGAGATAGTAATGAAGTGAGTGAGGACATTGGGGTGAGATAGAGCATCATGCTCTATCACCAGACTGTGTGCAATATGTTACTGTATCTGTATATTCTATACTGTAATACGTTATCATTATTATTGTTGCAATTGTTGCTGATTTTGAATGATTTTGATTTTGAATTTGAATGCTGTTGTTGTTGCTGATTTTATGTTGGTGTTGTGTTGTTTTTTTCTGGTGTAGCAATTTCCCTGAGGTCTTGTACCGAAGGGATCAATAAAGTTTTATTCTAATTCTAATTCTAATTCTGAAGGTGTGACGTCATTGTCCACAGGACAAAAGTATCTCGAAGAATCGAGCATATTCACTCTTTAGGATTCTATATGTTTATAATGAAGTCTCTCTGTCTTTTCTGGCCATGAGAGGAGATGGTGTGTGCGTCGTATACCATCACTTCAGATGTGAGGTGTTCTTCTTCAGTACCGGTCCTTATTGGCCTGGTATCGTAGATTAAGTCCAGATGTTGGGATCATCACGTCGATGATGGTGGAATTCCTTAATTTTAGGATTTACAGCCATTCAGTTCGTTCTTGTATAGACTTGTCTCTTGTCAGGAGGAGAGGGCGGTCAGGAGGTCATAGTGAAGAATGGACAATCTCCTTTTGTTCCAGAGATGTGGTTACCCTCGGCGTTGCCAGTCTCTGACCGTTATCAGTTCTTTCAAGAGGTCCTGTCCTTCAGAGGGCCTTAAATGGTCGTTTTGTTGTGAACATGTGACTGGGGTCGTTTCCTCATGATGCGGGGATGCCATTTGGATTCAAGTTTTGGGTTGGCTATCTTCTGAAACGCTCTCCTACCAGATGTCTTTGTGCTGCTCGTGAATGCAGCCAGCAATAAACGGTTGTTCTGCTTGTTGGTACGCGACGGTTAGCATAACCCTAACCCTGCAGGAGGCTCCACAGCTGTCTCCAAACTGAGATAGCTGCACATATTTACACGTGCAGCAGCAGCAGTAACTTCCCTAACATGGATAAATGACCGATCAGGATCATATCAGAACACACCAGGTGCTTTTCTTCACCTCAGACAGAAGAGTGGGTGTATCAGCTGCAATACCAGCCGTCCTCAGGTTGATTCCTGAGCTTTCAGTTTCACTGTTTAAGAAAAGAGAAATACACTGGGCTGTGAGGTATGTGGACACTTCGTTTAGATTTAGACCGTTAAGGCAGTATCGTACATCCTTTGCTTTGTTGTCCTGTGTGAGCGACGACCTGCATGCTGCTGTCGCTCGCTCAGCAGTTATGAATCCAAGAATCAGTGTGATTTTGATGCAAATTCTGCGGTGTGCTCGGAGTAGTGTTGTAGTACTCTAGATCGAGACCGATCTCGAGACCACTTTTTGAAGATCTCAGTCTTGTCTTGCACTCAACCGCATTTTTACTCGGTATTGTCTCGGTCTCGGCCACAGAGGACTCGGGATTTTACTGAGAGACCAGCCGAGACCACGGCTGCGAGGACCGCACTAAGCTGCCTCTGAACTGTTTCATTTGTTTAGTAATAGCTTTGTTGTTATTGGATGCAAAACTCCCCGCTTCGAATGTAACCAATAGTTTAACAGATTTTTAATTTGGATTTTTTTTTTTACGGGCTGTGGCCTGTCACCCCACCCCGCCCCTCTTCACAGGCACTCCACAACAGTAAATGCGGGAGAAGGAGTCTGGAGTGGGGCGACCAGATCATTAGCTGGTGCGACCAGTGAAGAAAGTTGGTAGCACCATACTACCACTAGAAAAGTTAATCTGGAGCCCTGTAACAGAATCGCAAGACACAGTTCAACAGCTGAGGATCTCCTGCTGCCCACTGCTCTAGATATGGTGTCAACAATGACTGATGAGACTACCATCACAAAACTGAAGGCCCCCCCCCCCAACCCCCGTCACTGTCACTGATCACTGAGCAAGTTGTTGCTGCACTATTTGACTGCTCATGATATTTAATTTCAGTAAATTTAAACTGACTCATTTCATGACTATTCAAGGTGAGGGGGGGCACAAAAGACTTTTGTCCTTCGAAGGGAGGCCTGACAGAACCAGTTGTGAGAACCACTGGTTTAGATGGTTAAACATAGTTATAGGTTCAATTCAATTCAATTTTATTTGTATAGCGCATATTTACAACAACAAGTCATCTCATAGCGCTTCACAAAGGCAGAAACAGAAACACCCAACAATCCAAAACATCTGGATTCCCTATAAGCTTCAGGGAATCCAGATGTTTTGGATTGTTGGGTATGCTTACAATGGAGTGTTTACTACCATGACAAACATCCTTTTACAAAATCTATTACAGTACAACAAAACTGAAAAAAATACTTACAGTGCCAATTCTTAGAATTAAAACACACAGCTGCAGAATAAATGTGTAACTTCAATATCAATTAAACTAAATAAATGTACAACACAATTTTGAGTGCTGTGAGTTCCCTCTTCTATGGCTTGTTCAATCACAATCTTTCCCACACTGGGTGTACTTAAAAGAAAAAAATGCACACCTATCCTCTTTCTGAAAATGATTGTAATGCCAGTGTTGAAGTAAGAAAATTAACTGGTGTGGTCATTTAAGATAAAATTGTAGTATTGACTGTTTGTTTGATACATTCCGTATTAAATGTTTGTTTGCAGTTGCAGACAAGAGTATTACAGGCAACCTTACACTTGCCTTAAAATTACATTGAATAAGCGTTGAATAAAATGGTTAAGTTAAATTTGGTATGGTCTCGGTCTTGACTCGGTCTCGCTTTGTCTTGGTCTCGGTCTTGACTCGGTCTCAACCCCTCAAAGTCTTGGTCTTGTCTCGGTCTCGATACACTGTGGTCTCGGCCATGTCTTGGTCTTGGTTTAGGTGGTCTTGACTACAACACTAGCTCGGAGCTTACAAGTTCTCAAATTGCGTCATTGACTATGTATCAGTCGTGTCTGCTGAGCGTGTTGATCAGTGATTCAGATTCAGGTGGTGCTCAGACCTCCTACCTTTGTGCACTCGTCTGCCTGCCACTCAGTCACCCGTAATGACTCGCTGTCATTTTGACTACATTAACAGTCAGAAACTGAAAACTCTCATTCACTGTGGTCAGGTGCATTTGTTTTTTTCAGCTTTTATAATTAAAGTGTGTAGAACTTCCTTCCATCTGTGGAGAACTAAAATATTCTGATGTGGTTCAGTAAGGGACACCATGTTCTGTCAGGACCAACGCTGAGCATCACTCAGGCAGCATCAAGTGTCTCTGGATGATTATCTAACTTCTCTCTCAAAAAAAACAAAAAGCTCTACCAAGCCACAGCTCACCTTTTGATAGAGAACAAGGAAGCTGTATAAAGCTTGTTAGGGCTCCAGTGTTGTTACCAGTTGTAGTTTTTTCTCTTAACCCTGTGTTGTACTTCATCAGGTGGCCACGGCTGCTTCCAATCCTGACTCCAGAATACGTGGCCAAGAAGATCATCCATGCTGTACTCACCGACCAGGTTCACCTGCTGCTACCGAAGAGCATTTACCTCATCGCTGCTCTGAAGAAGTTAGTGCCAATCTTTGTTTCTCTTCTTCCTCAGGCCATACACACCTTCCGTCAGTATTTTATTTGTTTGAGTGGTTCATCGCTCAGTCATTTGAGATCCAACATGTGCCGTCCATTCTTTTAATTTCCTAAATTCTATGCCAGACCTTGAGGTCAGATGTGTATTATTTTTGATTAGAAACTGATTCTGGGCCACAGCCCATGATGTGCATCCATTAGAACAGCTGGCCACCTCCTTTCATTACTCTCATGCTCTTGTGCCCATTGTCTCAGTAAGCTGTGATGGATGGTGTTACACCTTCATATCACAGTTACCATGAAGGCTTTCAGCAGGTCGTGCTACAGTTGCTCTTCTGTGGGATTTGATCCCACTGCCCCCTGCATCGGTTAGTTTGGGCTATCCATGGTTCTGTTAACAGTCCTTAGACTGCTTTTGATAGGTACTACCCACTGCATGCTGGGAAAACTTCACAAGACCTCGTGTTTTGGAGATGCTCTGACCTAATCTAATTTCCTGCTTCCAGCACATGAACTGTAAGAGCTGAAGGTGCACATGCTGTTTAACATGTACCACCTCTTGACAGGCGCCATTACAACAAGATCATTAATGTCTGTAGTTTTACCAGTCACTGGTTTAAGTGTTGTGACTCATCACTACATAATTACTAAAATTAAAATTAAAAAAGCAAGATAAGGACAGGCTAGGACAGACATCACCTTCATGGTGTAATGTACCAGACTGAAACAAGTCCAAGAGAAGTTGGGGTGACAGCTCTACAGTGACTGACTTTGTCCTTATGGGGGATTTCAGTGATCTGCAAGCATGACATGACATCGACGTCGTATCGCTCTGAAGCTGATCTATTGAACGTCATGGCGAACACTTGCCTATTGAGGCTTCCAGCACAAACAAAACAACGTCAGCATTCATTTTGAGCGATGTTTCAGACCATCCATCCAGTTTTGTTCTCCTGTCCAGAAACTATCCAACTGTCTAATGTTCCACTGTGTCATCGTGACATGAACATCCACAGACACTTCATCTCTCCAGCTGCAGACAGAAACTTATTCCAGAGGGAGAAATCCACCGTTTTCCAGCAGAGCAGCGTAGCTTCAGATTTGGATGTGCTGACTCTCATCTGACTGCAAACTGCCCGAGTACGCACAAAAGATCACGTTCTAATGAAGCCACCAGACCCACATCATGTGCTATAAGCAAAGATGTGACTCTGAGGTTTCCGATCTGATTGTCCTCCTCAAACGACATAGAAGTGCTTTCCTCTTTCCTTATGCCGCCTCTTTTATGTTTGAGAAGCACTGGTCAGCTGTGGTGATGTTTAGAAGCCACTGAATGAGCACGGCTGTGTTGGTTTTTTCCTGGGGAACACAGGTCATCGCTACGTGACTACAGGACGTGAGAAGATGGATCTGACTGTTCTGTGGTGTTTAGACACCATCACCCAGCTTTCTTGGCTCTTCTGGAAGGGCCTGGCTAAACTACACCAGTCATGTTTTGTCAGTAGGCTTCTGTGCTAGTCATGGACTGGCTGTAACAGCACTATCATAAGTGTACCTGACACCAGAACACCTTAAGCTAAAGGCCTAGAATCTCTTTTACGGCTGTCATCAGACCTGCAGCTGTATGTCTGCTACACTCAGGTGAAGGGAGGAGTAGAGCTGTGACTTGGTCCCTGCCTGGTGAGGAGTTGGGTCAGAAGACAGATTAGTAGATAGCCCTAACCCTAACCCACACATATCACACGTATTACAGCTTTAATAACTAAAAAAGTATAAATACATGGTCCTTGAGTTCTGGTAGACCCATGACTATTGCACAGTTCTTTGGAGCCCTCTTTAGACTATTGCACCAATGTCAACAGGGTGTGACAGTTATGAGCTCCTGCCTTTAACCAAAGTGTTGTGGTGCCTGATGGCTGTGGGACCAGAGGACCTGCAATGCCCCGAGATCAGCCACCCACTGCAGCTGCTTGTCTGTCCATCCACAACATTGTGAGGGGGTGGCTAATGTTGTCTAGGAGGCCTACATTGTGCTGCATTTGAGTCTTTCAACCACAATTTCAGTTCGTCCAAGCTCCTGCCAAGCAAAGGGCCAAACTTCTTCACCAGCTTGTCCAGAACATAACAGCAGTCCAACATCACAAACCACATCAAGACTGTTTTTGGGAGAAATTATATTTCAAATAATTTACTAGTAGGTGTAGTAGAGTAACAGAAACCGACAGACCCAGCAGTCATGAATTACATGCAGCTGATTCATCATTATTCAAAATAACAGCAGTTCAGCTGGAGCTCATTCATTCTGTGGAGGAACAGGTGTCTAACAGGTGGCCCATCTGAGGACCAAGACAGCAGGTGTTGTACATGCTGGTTATTGTGCTTTTTGTCTGAAAATCTGAGTAAAATGGGTAGCTCCAGACATTGTTCAGAAGAACAGCGTACTCTGGTTAGAGAGTTGACTGGAGAGGGGAACCATTTAAAGACGTGTAGAAAATGAAAGGCTGCTCAGCAACAATGATCTCAAATGGCATCCAGCACCAGAAAGACGTGGAAGAAAATGAAAAACTACGATTCAAATGGATGGCTCCAGGGACACCACAGAAGGTCTGAAGTCAGCTGTGAGTCCTGTCAGGATTAGATGCAAAGCCAAGCTGTGGGCAAGAAGCTCTGCAAAGTCCCACTGGTGCAAAAACTTACAGCGCAGCCTCATGGTATGGGGCTGCTTCTCTAACTGTGGTGTCGGCCTGTTTATCGCACACCAGGGAGTCTGAATACATCAGAATACTTGAAGAGGTCGTGCTGCCTCATGCTGAAGAGGAAATGCCCTTGAAATGTGTGTTTCAACAAGACTGAGCCCAAACACACCAGTCAGCGAGCAGCGTCTGGTTCCAGATCCACAGGATCAGTGTTATGGAGACCTCGGTCCAATGGAAAACTTTTGGGTTGACATTAAAAATGCTGTCTGAGGCAAAACCAAGAAATGCAGAGGAACTGTGGAATGGAGCCCAGTGGTCCTGGGCTTCACAGATGTGAAGCAGTTCTCAGAAACAATCATTAAACAACTAATGCTAGTTCAGGGATTCACAGGAAGGCTAAATCCGCTAGCATTTTTCAGTTTATACAGTAAATCTTTGTTGTTCTCATTATGTAATGGCAGAAGTTTGTGAACTGAAAATTCTGAAAGCTGCAAAATGCAAAACCACATTGGGTAGTAGTTCCATGTGACTTTACCATGATACCCATGCAGAAGAGACGTCAGACTGGTGACTGCCAATAGATTTTTTTGGCAACGTGAATGCCAGGTTGAAGGCATCCTTTGGCTCTTTTCAGATGAAAGCCAGTGAAAGTAGCAAGTGAGGCAGAGAACGACCCATTTCACTGTCACTCTAACACATCGAATAATGTTGGTGATCCTGACTGAGCTGAACAGGAAACGTTTAGTCTGATTTAAAGTCAGACGGTGAGAAATAAAAGGTTGTGTTTGTTTTTCTACAGTGGACGTAAACGTCTGGTTTCATCTGTGTACATGTTTCATAAAACTGTCATATCTGCCCAGTTTTCAGCACCACCTGGTTACAGTTCTGTAGCTGAAAAATGGAAACTGTTGTTCTGCAAACCTCGGAGCACAAGTTTGTATAAAGGAATAGACTTAGGACAATAACTGTTGGCTGACATGGCAGAATGAACCATGGAAGTTTCAAACTGAGCCTTAGGTTACAAACAGCATTGCATCCCTAATGCTGCAGATTGGAGAAAACACAGTGAAAGTTTTACATTGGCTTTTATTTTCCCTGCTCTCATAATGTCCCTCCATCCTCTTCAGTGTCCTACCATGGAAGCTGACTGCCCTTCTTGGTTCATACCTGGGATTGGCAATCAAAGCAGACTGTCACTCTACCCTCAGTCTGCACTGCAAATTACAGTAGCACACATTCAGCCTGAGGATGAACAGAAAGCGTGACGATGTTCGACTCTACTGTAATAACACACAGCAGCTCATTTCCCACATTAAATGTTGAAGCTCAGACCTGGTTGACAGTCTGATGTGTACCTGAAACAACAGATGCTGGCTTGTTCCCAGACGACAGGCCACCGTACCAGAATGACGATTACAGCCTCAGACCTCTTTCCTTGTTTGGTGCTGTCCATGCCAGAGAGAGAAGCCTAAGATGCAAATTGAAAATTCTGCTCCAAGTACAGATAAAGATCATGGAGACGTGCAGTCGAGCACAGCAGTGCATTTAAATGTGGTGAATGAGAGATCAGACTGAATACCGTACACGCATGGTGCTGTAACCACATATGCTGCCAATTAAAGGAACTTCCATGACAACTTGCAAAACCCTTTTTATGAGTATTCTTTAAGGGGGCATTCTGATCTATCACCACTCTTATGTTTATTTCCAATGCCATTGTACTCACCAAGGAAACTGCTGGATTGTTGGGACATAGCAAAACATTCCTAAAGTGAATTTTGTAGGATCAAGACAGTTTCTGTAGTGAATAAACATGCTCGAAGTCATTTTTAATGTGATGGTAGAAATAAAAGTGGGAACAGCTGAAATGCCATTAGTAATCTTTGCTTTCACAATTTATCTGTTGCAAAGTGGGGTTTTTTTCTTCTTCCATTAATTAACTTGAGTAACTATACATTAAGATTTGGTTTATTTTACTGTTATTGCACCTTGTTGGTCAGTTGCAATTAGGATTGTGTGTTTTGTCATAAGTCTTATTGTGTCAGTTTATGATGAAACCAGTTCTCCTGGTGCCCAGTTAGGGTGTACCATCTTATCACTGAATCTTTTTGGGCTGTTGTGTTGTGACCAATGCGACCACATAATATCTTTGACCCTGTTCAGGCCTGTTGGGCTCTTTTGGACCCCAGGCCATTTGGCCATTTTGACAGGTGTTGTTTTTTTTATTTTTGAAGATTTTTTTTTAATATAAAAGAGGGACATTGGTCACACATTTGGAACCTAAAA